CCGGCCCCTTCCCCCCTTTCACCGCCGTTCCTTTCTCGCGTTTCTTCCTCTTGCGCGCGACTCTTTGAAAACGCCAACCTTGTTCCATTCTTAACGACCGTTCTTCGAGTCAAAGACATTGGGCAATAAGCGTCGGACCGACTACGAGTTATCGTGTTGACGCGTGGGCAGATGCCTGCCCTCTTCTTTATTCTTCGCAAGAAACATCAAAGCCAATCTCTCTTTCTCCGGGAATAGCAGTGATCCTAGGGCACGATGTAGTTTATTCTCTTCACGGATGGAAATCTGCGTTATGATTTACGACGAATAGGGATACAAGATATGAATATATAGTGGATAGAAATTCACTCGTGCATTCGACTCGATCGAAATTTCATCCGATATTCTTTTCGGACTCGACCATCTTTTTACAGGAAAATTAAAATAAACTTAAAGCAAATCTCTTTTTACAATTAACGAAAGTGTATCTTAGTGTGAAGTAAATATAATTATTCTTAATTTTTATGAGTGATAAATATACAAGTCTGTATATTTGGTATTTTTGGTATTAAGGGAAATGAAAACGTAAATAATTAAATGAAATAATTATTTCTCTTGGAAGGTTGGGAAACACTGAGCTAGATAGGTATCGATATCGGGCTCCCCCTCCTTTTTTTTCTCTCTTACCCTCTCCCTTTTTATTTTTACGGAATTAGGCTCGAATTCGAGATAACAAACAGCTGCGTTTCAGTTTAAATTATTGTATCGTGGAGAAACAACGACGCGTGGAATCATCCGTCGATGCATGTTCGATCAACCGATTCTCTGCGCTTTCTCTTTTTTGAATCATAAGATTCTTTAATAACTTTCGAAGGAAATCGATTTCTTTTTAGAGAATAGAGAATATCAAAATTTTTATACAAAGAAAAAATCGATCACGATAACGAAAAAAATTTTTGTCCATTGAATATAAAGTTAGAATTTAATTTATAACGAGAATAGATAGAACGTTACTTAATTTACGACGTTTCTTTATATCAAATTAGGAAGTTGTTCTATTGTTGACACAGAAACAATTAAAAATTAGGTAACGAGTACCGTTCATTAACATGACAATACATACTCACACGGTTATTCAGTACCAATGGAAATTGAACGACCTCGATGAAAAAGGTTCCCTCGTATTTCTCAGATTTCTTTCTATCTCTGTCTACGCATTTCGACTCGTGCATTCAAGGATTAAAATTAGTTTATTATTAATGCATATACAACAATTGCGTCACGCGATAATTTAAAAACCGCAAAATGCGTAAAAAAAAAAAAAAAAGTGCATATATATTACGATGCGTAATAACGATTTCATAAAACGCTCAAAGCGTAACGATGTCAAGTTCGAGCTGTGTTTTGCGCCAGTTTCGGGGTCGTTCCCACGTAAAAGCAGCGGATACAATAACCTGTTGTGTTACCGTGAACGTAGCCAAACTTGAATCTCTCCGATCTTCACGGATTGCGAGCAGACAGAAATCAGAAAATCTTCCCGGCTATTCGGTTAAAGTCATACCATGACGAGCGGTCGTGACGGTTCAACCGACACTTCCGCCGCGCGTACCTGCACGGCCGGAAGCGTGCTCCTCCCCCTTACATCCTGAGGATCACATATGCTCGTTTTACCAATAACGACATCCCGCATTTTCGAACTTTTCACTCGATACTCATCCGCCGGGTTTCCACTAAACCATAAAGCCAATTTATAGTCTACACCGACTTCCATTTTATCGAACGAACGTGGAATTTTAAAAAGTTCGAACATGTTTCCAATGAATCGAAAGAAATTTCGTCTTCGATTCTTAAGTGGAAAACTTTGTGTGAATTTATAGTAAGTCTTGTTTTCTGAAATTTTTTAGGGAAAATAGGGATCTTTTAATTTTATTTTAACGTATGATTACGTAATCGTTTGAAGAATTTTGTTAATTTGTTTTTTAAAAATGATGAAATTTGTAATATATATATATAAATGTAGAAGATATTTCGATTGTTAATTAATATTAGCTATGAATTTTCAAATAATAAAAGATATGACACGACAGAAAATATAAATAATTATTTTTTATATTAAAAAATCAATTCTATTAAGATATATTTAAATTATTGGTAGTTGCTATTTCAAATGAGGTGTACGAGTTTTACTTTGGAAAGTAAAGTAGATTTCAAATGGTAAAATGAATGGATTACAGTAAGTAAAGAAGATTTCTTACTAACCGACTAAATCGTATTGACTGTCGGTAAGTTACCTTTGCCTCTCGTATATATCTACTGTATTCCTTCTCATAGACGAAAGAAAACTGTTATATCGATCCATAGTAAAATATCGATAAATAAAATATCGATCCAATAGATTTTCTTTTAAACTTAGAGATAATACTTGTAAATCTAAGTTTCTCACGGTATTACTGTTACACGTGTTATACATATGTTTACGTACATTTGGATACCACGTGGAGAAAGATCGCAAAAAAGCAAATAGGATGTATTTACTTGCTTTTTCATTTTTTAAAATCTTTCACAAATAAAATATTTTCCTAACGTTTAAATTATTAATTGAAATACGAGAATAAATAAAGAATAGATATTAAATAAAGTTATATTGTCATTTTTTTCCAGATATCATCGATTCCATTTTATAAAACAAAAAAGATAATCATTCAATCTTTTCTGTCGCGTCGTAAGAAAAAAGATCCCCCATTTTTCTCAGACTCATGTCAACAGCTCCTAATCGTAAACGATTCTCCTAGTCATTATACGCGTTATATCAAAACTTCACTAAAGCCCTACTTTCGTCAATTCATTCCGACCATTGATCGACGTGGAACAAAGAAATATCCCTATATTGTTAAACTTTACTAGACAACCACAACACTGAAAATTGACACTCGAATGATCCCCACGATCATTTTCAATCGTACGAATCTTCCCCTCCCTCTCGGTCTAATACGTGACTGGCGAAATTCTCCCTTCGAAATCTACATAGACTAAAAATTTTATAGATACTGAGCGGGCAGAAAGAAAAAAAAAGAAAAGGAGAAAGAGAGAGAGAAAACAATCCTGATTGAAATTCAAGCAGCGCGTGACCAAACGATTCGTCCTATAGCTTTTTGTTATCCGTACCATGGATGATGATGTTCATTTATCTTCGAGTGATTCGCAGCAGACAGATTAAGATTCCGGTTGCACGTGGATACTACTAGCCAGACAAGTGAGCTCGCGGAACTGATTCTGCATACGTACAGAATTTTTCAACCACAATGGAGTCTTAACTACTCGGGCCTCCTGCCAAACACCTCGCCACGGTTTATCTCTTTTTTTGCTTCCTTTTTTATTCTTTCTTTATTTGCCACAGAAAGATATATATATATATATATATACATCTCGCCGCCGTTTATCTTTCTTTTTCTTTCTTTTTTTTATTCTTTCTTTATTTGCCACAGAAATAATATATATATCTTATTATATATATATTATTGTATTATACCATAAATACGAAATATATATCGTTATATATCGTACAGATATATGAGATATTTTCATTCCATCATATGCGATTATTTCTAATTAATTCGCAACGATAACTGATATCCATCGAGATAGAGATACGCGTTACATGTTTCCAAATATAACTATGCAAAGTGTCATGGATATTATCGTTCGATCGATATCTCTCGATTAATTTCAATTAACGTTGGTTTATTAACATTCATCGAAAATGAACTTGTTTATCTAATTATACGTTAAATTCGAGACATATTCCATTCGTTCTATCGTCAACGTGCCAATGAGAAAACATATCGATCGATATAAATCGTGAGGCGATAATAAATTGGAACACGTCACAATTTTTAAAATTATTCCCGCCTTCGTGAGAATTAATACGAATCGTCATCGATTTTTTCGTTCGCCACGAACATCAAAAATTTGATTAGACCCACACGACGAATTATTATTAAAAGAGGGATATAGATACCGATCTACAAAGCATATATACGGGTGATATATACGGGTATCGGCGTTAATTCGTATCCTTGAAGACAAGATCAAACTAACAATTTTTTTCACAGTTTTTTTTCTCTTAAGGAGATTCTTATAAAAATAATTATTAAATTACAAAATATTAAGAATCATTATGTAATGTAAATTTTGGCAACAGACTTAAGCAACGCAAAACGTGAAATAAGCACGTTAACGTGTGTTTTACCTGGGAGAAGTAAGGCGGTAGAACGCATCGTTGATCATCGAGACGCGAACACTGCACTCTTTCCAGCAATTCGAATAAATCTTGCGTGGTACTCTGCAACGGAAGAGCAATCGTTCGAAAATCAATCGACAAATTACAACGACGAGTTTATCGAATTTTTTTAATCAAATAATTTATATATAATTTATATAATAATTTCAATCAAAAATTCTCACCTTGATCTTCTCCTGTTGATTGCCACCCGGTTGAACATCTTGCCTCTCCTCCTCGGAAGCGCTACGCCGGGACTCAGCCTCGCAATACACGGATTGCTCGAGCTGTTGTCTCCTGAAAAAAAAACGATAATCATCCGTGTGAAAAGATTTTGATTTGATATTGT